AAGAGCTAAATATTTGTTTCACAACGAACTTTTACCTAAAGACAATATACATGTGTCTTTGTAAGTATTCAAGTGAGACTACGGGCATTACTTCCACAACCTAATTGAGAACATAGTATTTGTTGTTCTAAGTGGTGTCTTTCTAGAAAGTAACACATTTCCAAAATGACAAGTGGGAGGAAAATGAACTCGATGACCATTGAGATTAGCAACAAACTTAAACTGAGAATCTCCGAAGACTTTAGAAGGGCTTCATGAGAATGATTGATCAAGAATACTAAAAGGACTTTACAAGTGCCTTAAATGAGAATTAAATACTCACAAAACTTTAGAAGTGGTGGAGTAAGATCAATATAATCAAAGGGCTTTAAAAGCACCTTGAAACTCAGTGTTTAATGCAATTACCCCGTATAGGTATAGAATTCAATAAAGGCTTGGATTGAATCCTATAAATTTCTATTAAGTTAGAAATAAACCTAAGACTTACAAGCATACTATTTACCATTGGATGGTGAGGGAATAGTGGCTTGTAAATTAGCTACGACAAATCCAAATTCCGAATAAATGTTAGAGGCCATAAAATCCAAAGCAGACTCCATGTTTGTAAATCATATCTGGAACTTGATTCATTTGCATGAAGGGTGAAAGACCCATCAATTGCAAATAAGTTTTCAAGGAGAAAAGTGACAATTGTGGAAATACATAAGCATACAAAGCTAAATTTGTTGAAAAGGCGTTGATTTTAATAAAAACCTATTCACCAATCAGAACGCTTAAGTCTTTTCATGATTATTCTAGAAAAATTGGGCAATAAAATATGGCAAAATAGATAACAAAACCGCCTTCCTAAAATGGGATTTTAGGAAGAGACTATGGAAATATTCTAAGGGTTTTGAGAGTCTAAATAATGCTAGATTTGAAAGCAAGCTCAAGAAATCCATTGTTGGATTAAGTGAAGCATTTCATGTAGGAATTGGAACATGTATTCTCATAATGTTAATAAAAGGTTTGGCTTATGGAGAATCATAGAAATTCTTATGAACAAGAAGGTTAGTGGGAGAAAGAGTCAATCTTGTGTGGTCCAACAAGAAGTTTACGAACTCTATTGTGAAATGACTGTCAAATGCTAAATGCATAGATTTGAAAGTATTTTCGACAATGGACCAAGCAAAGGGCGATACTTAGTACATAATGAAATTAAGATCTATTGGATAGACTTAATGAAATGTTTAAACGAGTAGAGGAATTTACCGTGTTAAACATGAAGGACTTTGAAAGGATTTCAACCCATATGTATAAAACTAAGTAAATGTTTGAACTAAGTATAAGTTAGGCTAATACTAAATCAAACAAGAAAGACTCTAGGAGAGACTTTCAACCCTATCATATAACAAACAGTTTAGCAAAACTCAGTGAAACTGGATGAGCTAAAATGTCACATGAATGGAATAAATTGGGAATAATTCTGCAATTGAAACCATCATGTATGCTGTGATATGGAGTCGTCACTCAACTTACATGCTTGGAGCATGAGAAGTATAAAATACCAATCAATTTAAATCTAAGTGATGAATCGTTAGATTTTGATTAAGAACATCCAAAGTACTTGGATAAGTATAAGGGATGGGTTCTTGACATATGGAAACAATTGTAATTTGAGAATTGATGTTGCAAGCACATCCTTAGAAAGGATTAGATCCTTAATAAGGAAACCATTGATAAGCATGAGCTAGAATGCGTTGTGGCTTGAGAATGGTAACATGGACGCGCATCCATGTATAAAGGGCGAAAATTTAAGGTAAATTTCCATAATCAAAAGTGATTAGGGTCTCCCAAATCATTGTGAGCCGTTTGGAATGAAATCCGAGCAAAGCACCATAAGAAAGTCTACTAAAATATATGTTGAGAATATTGTTGCCTGGAAGTGTATAGTAAGAAAGTGTTCAATGGAGAGTTCGTTGTCGAACGTTGATGATTGTAGGTTGTCAAGTTGAAGAATCTCAAATCATGAAAATGAGTGGGAGCCATCACTTGGGCAATAAATCCTAAATAACATATGATCCATAACACTCTCAAAAAATTTCGTCTTATTAAAATTGTTCGATAATGAAGATGCTAGAAATCAGATGGAGTATGAGTAATAAGGGAAACTATAATAAAGAGGAATAACAGTAGGAGGAAGATGGAAATATTTTTATTAAGGAATTTAATAGATATCCTTCATTCGAGAGGAAGCTGATCTCCAAAACAAGCCAAGGCTTTGTGTATAATTTTCAGGATGCTGAACTAATTCCATGCACCGTTATTTATACTGATCATTAAGCATAATCAGTTTGTTACATTCATCCCCCCTCTACTAACAGAAAATATCCTGTAAAGCAAAAAGACTAACAGAACTCCAAATGCCCCATAACAAACATTATTTATTTTAAGCATAATTAATTAAAGTAACAGCTCGGCTCCTTCCTGAATCTTCTAGCCATCTTCAATCTGTTTCTTCTTGCGTCTGGCACATGTAACCACAATTGGAGGCCTAGTCCCATTCCTTGCAATACCCTCCGCCACAAGTTTCACCTTGTCCTCAAGGTGGAAATTAGGAAACTGGTGATCAATGTCAAAGTAAGGCTCCCAAGTGGCCTCACAATTAGGGAAATTTTTCCTTTTGATCAGGACTTCCAACCCCAGATGCTGCTCCCCACATTTGTTTCTGACTCCGAGCACTAATTCAGGTTCTACCTCCAAGGTGAAATTTGCAGAGAGGTGTGGAGGCAGGGGTGTAGGAGTAGTTGGTTGCCCAATGGCCTTTTTAAGCTGGGAAACCTAGAATATCGGATGTATTTTGGCCTCTAAGGGTAAGTTGTGTTTGTAAGCTACCTCCCTAACTCGGAGAAGCACTTTGTAAGGCCCATAATATTTTGGAGCGAGCTTCATGTTGCTCCTCCTTCCCATGGAATTATGCCTATACGGTTGTAACTTCAAGTACACCCAATCACCCACATTGAAGTGGCCCTCTTGACGCTTCTGATTTTTTTAATGTCTCATATATTCCTCTACTTGGAGCAAGTGGATTTTCAGATCGTCCAAAACAACATCTCTATCCACAAGCTGCTCTTCTACCAAAGAGTTTGAAGTAGTACCCGAGCTGTACCGCACTAACTTGGGAGGATCCCTTCCATAAAGGATTTTGAAGGGCGTGTGGTGGGTAGAGGTATGGTATGCTGTATTATACCAGAATTCTTCCCAAGGCAACCATGTGGACTAAGAACTTGGTTTCCCATTGATGAAACAACGCAAGTATGACTCAAGTCCTTTATTAACCAACTCAGTTTGCCCATCCGATTGAGGATGATAAGCTGTGCTTTTGTTCAACCCTGTGCCTTGCAGCCGAAAGATCTCCTTCCAGAAATTACTTAAGAAATTTTTTTCCCAATCCGAGACTATGGAAGAAGGAATCCCATGAAGTTTAACCACCTCCCGAACAAAGGCATGTGCCATCGCTTGAGCTGTAAACGGATGCTTCAAGGGATTGAAATATTCATATTTAGATAGTCTGTCCACTACCACCAAGACCGTGTCCCAACCATAAGATTTAGGTAGCCCTTCAACAAAGTGTATGGAGATATCCTCCCAGACTTTATCGGGAATTGGAAGTGGTTGTAAGAGCCCCAAGGGACTGACTGCGGCAGCCTTGTTCTGCTGGCAAACCTTGCAGTTTCTAACATATTCAGTGACCTCTTTACGCATGCCCACCCAATACTACTCAGCCGCCAACCTCTGATGTGTTTTAAAGTCACCAGCGTGTCCCCCAACCGGAGAATCGTGATATTCCTGTAGGAGAGCCGTGGTTAAAGTGGACTTCTTAGGACTGACAATTCGATCCTTGTACTTCGGAATGCCATTATCCAAGGAGAACCCCTTCAAGGGTTGAACCCCTTGCCCAATTTCCTCGGTCAGCTTCTTAACGAATGCATCTTGCTGTATTAAGGGCAGGAGCTGATCCCATTGAAACCCACCCACTGTGATCAAGGTGGCGCACTCACATTCTGAAGCGAATTCACGAGACAACGCATCAGCCACCCGGTTGCTTGCTCTTGGTTTATACTTAATCTACCCAAGTAACTTTCCCACCCACTTCTGGTAGGCTTGCCCCACTTCTCTCTGTTCCAGAAAATATTTTAGACTTCTTTGATCAGTGCGCACCACAAATGTACGACCCTAGAGGTAGTGTCGCCACTTCTCCACCGCCAAAGTCAACCACATTCAAACAAATCTAATTGAGTCAAATGAGGGTCAACCACGTTCAAACAAAGCTAATTGAATCAAATGAAAGTCAAAAACATTGAAATAAAGCTATTAGAATAAAATGAAAGACAAATGCAATGAAAAAACCTAATTAAATCAATTGAAAATCAAACACAATCAAACAAAGATTTTTGAATCAAATGAAAGTCAAATGCATTCGTCAAAGCTTATTGAATCAAGTGAAAGTCAAACACATTCAAACAAAGCTAATTGCATCAAATGAAAGTTAAACACATTCAAATAATGCTTTTTTAATCAAATGAAAGTCAATTGCATTCAAAAAAGCTAATTGAATCAAGTGAAAATCAAACAAATATTTTTGAATCAAACTATTGTCAAATACATTCAACGATACTAATTGAATCATATGAAAGTCAAACACATTCAAACAAAGCTTTTTGAATCACATGAAAGTCAAATACATTTAACAGAGTACAAATAACAATTGGAGTGATATGTTCTAGAACACGAGGGATGAGGGATTTGATTTGTCAAACCAAAATAAGTCGATGAATGAAGTGAATAGGAGGTATGGGGATAACAGAGTACAAATAACAATGGTGGAAGTTGAACCTGAAATTAATTTCTGGAACTCTGCTGTGGTCTGTTATGTTCTTGGTCTAAATCTACCCCTCTGAATCTTGAATGACTTTATTCGCCGATCTTGGGGGAAGTTTGGAATTGATAGAGTATCTGCAATGGAGAATGGAATTTTTTTAGTTCGTTTCAGGAATCTAGAAGGCAGAGATAAGGCGTTAATGGCAGGACCCATTTTCTTTGATAGAAAACCCCTAATTGTAAGAAAATGGGAAGCTGGCCTGAATTTGCAGAAGGAAGACATTCATGAGGTTCCAGTCTGGGTTCGTTTACCTGGTTTGGACCTCAAGTTTTGGGGCCAATCAGCGTTGATGAAGATTGCTGGAATTTTGGGTAAACCGATCAAGACTGACAAGGCTACTGCCACAAAAGAACTTATTAGCTATGCCCGAGTTATGGTGGAAGTAAATATGAAGGATGAGCTGTTGGAGGATATTGAATTTCTTGATGAAAAAGGAGAAGTGGTAACCCAGAAAATCGTATATGAGTGGAAGTCGATCAAGTGCAATGTTTGCACTGGTATGGGTCATTCAGGTGATCAATGTCCAAATCTTAGGGCCGAGATAAATAGAAGACAAGATAGAAAAGAGAACACTGCTCATAGGGCACAGAAAGTTTGGAAACCTATTCAGAAAAACCAGGATGGGAAAGGTGTTCAGGTAATCCCTATAGAAGTGATGGGCAGAAGGAAAAATTCAGGAAAAAAACAGAACCCTACTATTTCTACAGGAAATAGGTTTAGCAGCCTTGAAAGGAAGGATGCAGGAGAGGATAATGAAGAGAGGACAAGAAGGAATGATCAAGAGGTATGGAGTACTATTGGCAGAAAGGGATCTAAAGTTGCAAGTGGACAGGTGTTGTATGGTAGAGAGGAAGTTGGGCAATGCTCTCTATCTATCAATGAATAAGCTCGGTTTTTGGAATGTGAGGGGCATGAATAAATATGGCAAGCTTTATGATGTCTTATGGTTTTTAAGACAACAAAGTATGGGTTTGTTTGGCCTCCTAGAAACCAAGGTGAGAGGAAAAATTTTGGGAAAATCTTTGACAATTTTGGTAGTGACTTTACTAACCATTCGGTTAGTAAAGTGGGTAGAGTCTGGATTGTCTGGTTGCCTAGTGTATATTCTGTTGATAGTTGCAAAATTGATATGCAGTTTATTCATGTTAGTGTGACTCACAATGCTATGAAGAGAAGATTCTGGTTAACTATGGTGTATGGCCTAAATACTGCTACAGAAAGAGAAAGTTTGTGGAACCAGATTACTCAGTGTACTCCTAAGGGAAATGATCCTTGGATTTTGTGTGGGGACTTCAATAATATCCTTAACCTTGAGGATAAAATTGGATCTCCATTCTCTTTTTCCGAGGTTGAACAATTTAGGAACTGTTTGAGAGTGAATCATCTCACTAACTTTAATGTGGGAGGTATGTTTTATACATGGACGAATAAGCAGGAGGGTGAAGATAGAGTTTGCACAAAAATTGACAGGGTCATTGTGAATGATGGCTGGCTAAATAGTTTCCCTAATTTATCTGCTGAGTTTTTTCCCGAAGGTCTAATGGACCATACTCCATGATGTATGAATCTGGATACTAATACTAGTAATGCAAAGAAGCCCTTCCGGTTTTTCAACATGTGGACTGATGTCCCTAATTACCAAGACACTGTTCAGAAGGCTTGGGCTAAGACAGTTCAAGGAACAGCTATGTACAAGGTGGTTAAAAAACTAAAAGCTTTAAAGCAGGATCTAAAATTAATAAACCTTACTCATTTCTCTTCTGTGGAGAGTGATGATCTTGATGCTGGTAGAAAACTGGCTGAGATTCAAAGAAAACTGAATACATATCCTTCAGATGACCTTATACAGAAGGAAAAGGAAGCTTGAATTGCTTATAATGAAGCTCACTCAGCCAAGCTACTCTTCCTGAAACAGAAGGCAAAAGCTCATTGGCTAAAAGAGGGAGATGCTAATTCAAGGTATTTTCATTCTATTATTAGACAGAGAAGGGTAGAAAACAGGATTTGCAGCATCCAAAATAAGGATGGTGTGACTATACATGATCCGGATGAAATAGCCACTTCGTTTATTGACTACTATAAAGTGTTAATTGGCTCTAGCACAGGAGTAGCAAAACGTATTCACCCTGCTTTGATTCAAGAGGGTCCTGTGTTAACAGATTTACAGCAGATTGCTCTGTGTAGACCTTTCACTGAAGATAATGTAAAGATGGTTGTATGGGGTATAGATGAAGATAAATCTCCAGGTCCAGATGGATACACTAGTAAATTCTTCAAAATTTCTTGGAATACTTTAAAGGGTGATGTTTGCAAAGCTGTGCTGTCTTTTTTTTAGCATGGTCAATTACTGAAGCAGATTAATACTACATCCCTCACTTTGATCCCAAAGGTTGCCCATGAAAATGTTGTCACTCAGTTCCGCCCTATAGCTTGCTGCAATGTGATATATAAGATCCTTTCTAGGATGATTTTTGACAGGTTAAAGGAGGTATTGCATTTTCTAATCAGTGAGGAACAAGGAGCGTTTGTCTCGGGAAGCTCAATTTTGGATAACATAATGCTGTGCCAGGATCTTGTTAAAGATTATATGAATTTAAGGAAGCCTCCTAGATGCACAATAAAGGTGGATATAAGGAAGGCGTATGACACTGTAGAATGGTCCTTCATTGAAGACATGCTGAGAGCTTTGGGCTTCCCAGAAAATTTGTGAAGTGGATTATGAGCTGTGTCTCTTCCCCCACTTATACTATTATGCTCAATGGAGGCAGCCATGGGTTTTTTAAAGGGGCTAGGGGTATCAGACAAGGGGACCCCCTACCTCCCTTAATCTTTGTTATTTGCATGGAATACTTTACAAGATTAATGAGGAAAGTTGGACAGAAGGAAGGTTTTAAATTTCATCACAGATGCAGCAGCATGAGGCTTAACCACTTGGTTTTTGCAGATGACCTGATGATGTTTGCTTGTGGGAACAGGAGATCATTATCACTATGCTCAAGAGCTCTTAAAACTTTCTACCTGGTGTCTGGTCTACAAGCAAATGAAGAGAAAACAGTAATCATGTTTGGTAATGTTCAAGCACAAGAAAAATACAGCATTCTTCAATGTTCCGGGTTTACTAAAGGCTGTTTCCCTTTTTGATATTTAGGAATCCCTCTTAACTCTAAATATCTCAGAGCTAGAGATTTTGATGTGCTCATAGATAAAATGATGGCTCGGGTTCACTGTTGGGCAAGCAGAAACTTATCTTTTGCAGGCAGAGTAGTCCTAATCAATGCAGTTCTGATAAGTTTTTACTCTTTCTGGGCTCAGTATGTTTTGCTTCCTAAAAGGGTTATTGACAGAATTAATCAAGTTTGTAGAGCTTTTTTATGGGATGGTGGTATCTCCCTCTCAAGAGCTCCCCATATCTCTTGGGATTGGGTTTGTTAGCCAAGGAAAGCTGGAGGCCTCGGTACTCGAGATTGTTTCTTGTGGAATAAGGCAGCCCTAGGAAAGCATGTTTGGAGTATTGCATGCAAGAAGGACTCATTGTGGGTAAAATGGGTCCACAATGTCTATATAAAGAATAAGAGCTGGTGGGATTATAAACCTAGTAAAGGTTCAGGATGGGGATGGAAGAGAATTTACAAGATTAAGGATGAAATGAAGCCTGGGTTTTTGAGCAAGCAATGGACTGAAACAGGCTACTCTATCAAAGAAGGTTACAACTGGCTGCAAGGGAATAGTCAGGAGGTGGCCTGGACAGGTTGGATGTGGAATGCTTTCAATGTACCAAAACATTCTTTCATTGCCTGGATTGCAATTCATGACAGATTACGACTCAAGAGCAGGTTATACAAATCGGGAATCTGTGACAATGATAAATGCTTATTATGCGATGTGCATCCTGAAACTATACAACATCTATTCTTTGAGTGCAATTATAGTAAGATCTGTTTGAAGAATATTTGCTCTTGGTTGGGAATGCAAAGCAGGTACTATAACATTGAAACAGCTTGAACTTTCTGGAATCAAGGAGTTAAAGACAAGATAAAGAAGAAGGTCAGATTAGCTGTGCTTACTGCTTTGATATACCATATCTGGTTTGCTAGGAACAACTCCTATTGGCAGAAGGCAGTCATTCACCCGGAAAAGATCTGCAAAGCAATCAAATTAGAGACCATGGAAAGAAGTCAACAAATGATCACCAGGCAGTGGACAACAGAACAAGCTAAATGGCTATGTCATCTTCGAAGATCTGCCTAAGTCAGCTGCTGTGTTCCCTGTATTCCTGTAATTGTGTTAGGACTTATAAGTGTCTATGTAGGCTGCTGTTAATTCTTGGATGGCTGTGTTCAGGCTGTTTTAGCCTTGAGTAGCTGGTCTTGTAACCTTAAGTCTGTTTGTCTGTTGTTGTTTTCATCTTTTTCCCTTTCCTTGGTAAAGAACCCTTCCTAGAAGGTGGCTTCTCTTGGATAGGGGTTGTAATTTTGAGGGTTTACCCTCCTCCTTTTTTGGTATTAATAATACTAGCTTACTCACCAAAAAAAAAAAAAAACAAGAATCAAATGAAAGTCAACGACATTCTAATAAAGCTAATTGAATCAAATGAAAGTCAAACACGATCAAACAAAGCTTATTAAATCAAATGAAAGTCAAACTCATTCATACAAAGCTTTTTTAATCAATTGAAAGTCAATGACATTCTAAACAAGCTAATTGAATCAAATGAAAGTAAAACACATTCAATCAAAGATAATTGCATCAAATAAAAGTCAAACACATTCAACAAAGCTAATTGAATCAAATGAAAGTCCACCACATTTAAACAAAGCTAATTGAATCAAATGAAAGTCAAACAAATCAAACAAAGCTTTTAGAATCAAATAAATGACAATTGCAATAAAAAAAAGCTAATTAAATCGAGTGAAAGTTAACCACATTCAAACAAAGCTAATTGAATCAAATGATAGTCAAACACATTCAAACAAAGCTTTTTTAATCAATTTAAAGTAAAATGCATTCTAACAAAGCTAATTGAATCAATTTAATGTCAAACACATTCAAACAAAGCTTTTTGAATCAAAATGAAAGTCAAATGCATTCAACAAAGCTAATTGAATGAATTGAAAGTCAAATGCATTCAACAAGCTAATTGAAACAAGTGAAAGTCAAACATATTTAAACAAAGCTAATTGCATCAAATGAGAGGCAAACTCATTAAAATAACGCTTTTGAGTCAAATGAAAGTCAAACGCTTTCAAAAAAGCTAATTGAATCAAGTTAAAGTCAAACACATTCAAACAAAGCTTTTTGAATCAAATGAAAATCAAATGCATTCAACCAAGCTATTTAAATCAAGTGAAAGTAAACCACATTTAAACAAAACCAGTTGCATCAAATAAAAGTCAAACACATTTAAAAAAAGCTTTGTGAATCAAATAAAAGTCAAATGCATTTCAAAAAGCTAATTGAATCAAGTGAAATTCATACACATTTAAACGAAGGTAATTGAATCAAAAAGAAAGTCAAATTCATTCAAACAAAGCGTTTTGAATCAACTGAAAGTCAAATGCATTCAAAAAAGTTAATTAAATTATGTGAAAGTCAAACACATTCAAACAAAACTTTTAGAATCAAGTGAAAGTCAAATGCATTCGGCAAAGCTAATTAAATCAATTGAAAGTCAAGGACATTCTAACAAAGCTAATTTAGTCAAATGAAAGTCATCAACATTCTAACAAAGCTTTTTAAGTCAATTGAAAATAAACGCATTTAACAATTCTAATTAAATTAAATAAAATTCAAACACATTCAAACAAAACTTTTTGAATCAAGTGGAAGTCACACACATTCAAACAAAGCTTTTTGAATCAAATAATAGTCAAATGCATTTAACAAAGCTAAGTGAAAAAAAAGAAAGTCAAACACATTTAAACAAAGCTAGTTGAATAAAAAAAATAAAGTCAAATACATTCAAACCAAACTTTTTGAACCAAATAAAAGTCTAATGCATTCAAAAAAGTTAATTGAATCAACCGAAAGTCAAATGCATTCAACAAAGCTAATTGAATCAAGTGAAAAACAAACACATTCAAACAAAGCTTATTACATCAAATGAAAGTCAAACACATTAAACAAAGCTTTTTGAATTAAATGAAAGTCAAACGCATTCAAAAAGCTAATTGAATCATGTGAAATTCAAAGAAATTCAAACAAAGCTTTTTGAATCAAATGATTGTCAAATGCATTTAACGATGTTAATTGAATCATATGAAAGTTAAACACATTCGAACAAAACTATTTGAATAAAATGAAAGTAAAATGCATTTTACAAAGCTAATTGAATCAAATGGAAGTTAAACACGATCAAACAAAGCTAATTGAATCAAATGAAAGTCAAACACATTCATACAAAGCTTTTTGAATCTATTGAAAGTCAAATGCATTCAACAAAGCTAATTGAATCAAATGAAAGTCAACGACATTCTAATCAAGCTAATTGAATCAAATGAAAGTAGAACACGATCAAACAAAACTTATTAAATCAAATGAAAGTCAAACTCGTTCATACAAAGCTTTTTTAATCAATTGAAAGTCAATGACATTCTAACAAAGCTAATTGAATCAAATGAAAGTCAAACACATTCAATCAAAGATAATTGCATCAAATAAAAGTCGAACACATTCAACAAAGCTAATTGAATCAAATGAAAGTCCACCACATTCAAACAAAGCTAATTGAATCAAATGAAAGTCAAACAAACTCAAACAAAGCTTTTAGAATCAAATAAAAGCCAATTGCAATAAAAAAAAAAGCTAATTAAATCGAGTGAAAGTTAACCACATTCAAACAAAGCTAATTGAATCAAATGATAGTCAAACACATTCAAACAAAGCTTTTTTAATCAATTTAAAGTAAAATGCATTCAAACAAAGCTAATTGAATCAATTTAATGTCAAACACATTCAAACAAAGCTTTTTGAATCAAAATGAAAGTCAAATGCATTCAACAAAGCTAAATGAATGAATTGAAAGTCAAATGCATTCAACAAGCTAATTGAAACAAGTGAAAGTCAAACATATTTAAACAAAGCTAATTGCATCAAATGAGTGTCAAACTCATTAAAATAACGCTTTTTGAATCAAATGAAAGTCAAACGCTTTCAAAAAAGCTAATTGAATCAAGTGAAAGTCAAACACATTCAAACAAAGCTTTTTGAATCAAATGAAAATCAAATGCAATCAACCTAGCTAATTAAATCAAGTGAAAGTAAAACACATTTAAACAAAACCAGTTGCATCAAATAAAAGTCAAACACATTCAAACAAAGCTTTGTGAATCAAATAAAAGTCAAATGCATTTCAAAAAGCTAATTGAATTAAGTGAAATTCATACACATTCAAAGGAAGGTAATTGAATCAAAAAGAAAGTTTAAATCATTCAAACAAAGTGTTTTGAATCAACTGAAAGTCAAATGCATTCAAAAAATTTAATTAAATTATGTGAAAGTCAAACACATTCAAACAAAACTTTTAGAATCAAGTGAAAGTCAAATGCATTCAGCAAAGCTAATTAAATCAAATGAAAGTCAAGGACTGATCGGATGGTAATAGGTCGTTACTACTACATAGACCAAAAATTATAATTTATATCTCCTATCCTAACTCTATCAATTTTACTTTAGATAGCGGTAAGGTAGGGTCGATTCCCAAGGAAACAGGGGTTTAGCACAATTAATACAAAATCTAGGATAAATTGCAAGTAACAAAAGGGGGGGTATTATGGTTTGATATTGAAGATTTCTATGATCAATCTAATAACTAAAAACAAAACAATGAATAAACTAAGGCTAACAAAATTACTCTAACAATTAACAAAAACTAACAAGTATTGGAAACTATGAGATTAAAAACGCTAGGGGGATCGGGGAACGTCAAACTTGGAGATTAAGAGCTAAACACATAGATAATCAAGGATTCACAAACAAGGGATCAAAATTCCTACTTAACACAACTCATTCCCATGCAATTGATTAAGCAATGTATAAACTACGATCTATCCTAACATGATCACTCCCGCGCATCAATTAGGACATGTAATAATATAGTCAATGGTGCACAACATCATCCATATAACAATAAGCACAAGTTCATACAACAAGGGTTTAAATCCCCAAAAATCAAGTATTTAATCAAATAGCAACCAAGTCATCCATTCCCCTTCCCCTAGCTAAAAGCCTAGCCTAGGAGAGAGAAACTACTCATATCAACAATACCCAAAATATTGGCCATAATCAAAATCATAAACATAACTATCATAAATACTTGAAATATGTAAATAAACCAAAATAAAAGAGATTAAGATAGAAAGAGCTTACAAAGCTTCAACTTTGTATTGAAATAAGAAAATGGGTTTTTGAACCTTCAATGGTGAACCACCAAAAATCCAATAGAATGCTCCAATATTGATTATAAAGATGATCAAAGCACTAATCTATATTAAAGACTAAAGGTTGGATGATAAAAAACTAATAATCTGAACTTTCTCTCTCTAGAAACTTATACAAGAATTAATGGAGGCTATTCTCTCTCTAGAAATGTTCTAAGTACTTTGCCCTAAATGGAATAGCTGCCTTCATTCATTCCCAAATCAGCTTTTAAATAGGGAAATAAAAACGGGTTGGGCTAACAGCGTGCGCGCCCGCTACAGCTCTTTGCGCGCCCGCGCAAGATGATGTGCGCGCTCTCTGCTAACATCTGCGCGCCAGCAAAGTTCATTGTGCGCGCCCTCTACTAACATCTGCGCGCCCTCTACTGAGCGCGCTTGGCATCTAGAGAAAGTTGCCTTGTATCTTCAAGAGTTCTAGCTAATCTGCGCGCCCTCTCCAGGAATCATCGCACCCGCGCAGGATGATGAGCGCGCCTTCTACAGGGCGCGAGGCATCTACGAGGTATACATCCTGATTTCGCCTTAGGTTGCGCGCCCGCGCAGAGCGGGAGAGAGGGCTCTCCTGGGCGCACAGCCTAATTAGAAGCTCCTCACTTGATTTGCTATTAAATCGGCTCTCGAAACTATCCCAAACTTTCTTCTACTTCACGTATCGATTGGTTTACCTGCAAACACAGGAAAACACCCAAAACCAGTACAAAAAGGTAAAGTAGTTGGGAAGTACGAAAGAAATAGCATTGTTGTGCAATATATGGAGAAGCGCGGCAAAATAGGGCTAAATAAGCGATAAATATAGGGAAATGGTAGGAAAAA